AGTAAAATATAAGTAAAGTACAAACTGAAAATATGTTAAAGATAAAGCTTTTTTTTACCAATTTGCTTTTGTTAGCTTAGCTTAATTTAATCTTAGAATTAAATTAAATCTATAAATCTATAGGATGTGATGTAAATATTGATTTATAAAAGATTGTACTTTTACCTGGATTACAGTAGTGTTTCTGATTATTCCATAATTTTGGATTGGATTTAAATTGCTGATACATGTTTGACTGAAGTTTCAAATATTTTTTAATTGGGCCCTTATGTTTCTTGAATTCATTGGTCCCCCCCTTTCTGTAAATATGTTGCCAACATGTATATCATATTGTATCTATGAGAGTTCCATCTTTTATAGACGCGTGGAAAAAAAATACATGTAATAAACTTATACACCACTGAAGCACGAGCATCAGGTTAGAGTTAACCTTCAAGAAATAATTATCTAAATGACTTTGAATATTTTCAGACTTATTCGGTTTTTTGATTAAGTCATAATCACTTATAGGTTTTTATGCAAAAAAATTTGCAAGTATTAGCGGTTGTCAATAAGAAACTATTAATTAAAATATTAGTCTTCAATTAAAGTCAATACCAAAGCAAGTTGCTAACTTAAAAATATGCATTTTCATATAATAATGACTAGCAAGTAAATATTTAAAAAATAAAACGCTGCAATTAAGAATTCAATAGCATTTAATTTGAAAAACTAGTAAGACTTCTAATCGTAAGATTTCATTGGTAAAGTCATTCAAACTTCAGCCTATAAACGAGTTACATTTAAATTTTTGCCACCTGAAAAGTATAAATACATTAAAAAATTATTATTTTAAATAATTTGGTACGGATCATTTAAAAAAAAGAAAAATAAATATCGTCTACTTTTATATTCATCGACTATAAAATAAATAATTAAACGTGAGTTGGGTAATTACAAATGTTTGCCACTTGATACAGTTGGTAATAGTGCTATATAACATAACTTACAATCTCTAATATCGTAATGTGGAGAAGGTATCTAAAATCTCGAATAGCCTATGGCAATGGACAGTTCTTTATAAGTTCAAGTTTTGAAAACCTTCGTTTAAATTATGGGCAGGCCTAGTGGCAAAATAGTGGCTTCGAAACAGACAGATGAATACGACTAACTTGTTGGGCAATTGAGAATATATTTATGTGTGTCCTCAACGCTTTGAGAAGCGTGTATGATAAGAAAAGAAGATCATCTGTTTTAGATTCGTCAATATCATGAATAATCACACAGTGATGTAGTTGGGTACGAGCCCATTACAAACCGGCTTAGACTATTCGTTTAAATAATTTAATTATTATTTCTGGAAAAGTTTTATTGAAACTATTTGTCTCAAATTTAATTGTTTACAGTCATAATTTAAAGATTAAAGGTGAAATCTACTTAATTTAAATAAAAACTGAAAACTTCACTGCTTATAAATAGCAAGAAATATTGTTGTTATAGTTAGGCAAGCAAAACAGATGGTTTGTAACTGCAACTAGCATGAATCCAAGTTGTGTTTTAATATATATAACAAATGTACATACATGTATAACTATGTACATACATATAATAATATATTTATAAGACACGTAACATATGTTTTTGCTTACGAGTTTCTCATTTATGGAAGTGCGAACTGAAATAGTTTACCTAAGTTGTCATACATTGGTTTGGCATATATGGACACACCATTACAGTGTTGCGTAAATACCAAGCAATCAATATTTTCATTACACACTCTGCAAATGCTCCCTGTTACAATTTTCTCAGAATATCAGAATACTTGGACCATAGTACATAGTATATATTCCTAATACATTGTTTTAAAACGAAGTTGACACATGTATGGCTTGGGACACTACACGAATCTGCAATTTTTAATCATTGAGTCGCTTATTTTTCGTTTAATCAGATATTTTTACAATATAAGACGCATTTTTACTGATTCATTATCTGAAAGAATATGTGTATTTGTTTCCTGTCGTGTAAGCATATCGGCTCTACAATTTCACTCTACATTCCTTTATATGGTATTCATATTGTATTGTAATGGTTTACGGGTTAGGCTAAGGCCTTTTGACACTGCGACCAGCTTGATCTATTGTACACCCCTTTGTATTTAGACATTTAGTATCTCGAGAAATCGAACCAGCTCCTTTGGACGGAGTTTTTGGAGATCTTCATACTTTACTTGGTATGCACCTAATATTTTGTTTCTTCTGTGGCCTAGTGCATTACAGTTGGTGATCAGATCTTTCATAGACACAAGAATCTGCAAATATTTGTGCCGGATATACCTATTTTGTGTAGGTGTTTATTGCAGGTGGCGTGGCCTGTGGTTTTCATATTATGATAATGAATTGTAGTGTTATGTCCAAGATTTATACGACTTTCAGCCAAGGTTTTTGATTCAATAGTACTCTAAATAAACGCTGAAACAGTAGCTTATTTCACTGCATCTATTTTAATATTGTAAAAAGGTATGAATAATCCGTTTTATCCTGATGCATGATCATTTCCATTTATTAACAATGAAGCAATTTCAGTACTTTTACAGATGAACAAATTTTATATTATAAACAATACTTACAACCACTTTTCAAACACAACAACCTTAGCGTGAAGAACAGAAAACTGATCTATAGCCAGATAATCAGACCATCATTACTTTATGGGTGTGTCGCGTATAGCATAGCTGCCGACTCTATTATACAAAAGCTACAAGTTGCTCAAAGTCGGACTCTTCAAACTGCATTGGTACATCCGCACAAACGACATGCTAAGAGACCTTAGAATAGACTCGATCAAAAAATACATAAGGGACAGAGCCCGGAAGTTATATGCGAAAACTGACGGGCTATTCTACTTAGCACTATCTTATCTTAGAGTAATCACTCTCCACACGGAAAGGTACGCAGATCTTAGATCAATCACTGAATAATCATGAAGCTTATAAGGAATACATAAATTAGTCAATGAGATGGGTGGGACCCTGTAGTACCCCCAGCTATCAAAAAGTAAAAGTGCCCAGTTGCGCTGACTCGAAAAAAGGATCAACATACATACATAATATTATTTGAGCATGATATATACATTATTTATACATTATTCAATTAATATATATGTTAACTAATATATAATATTAATTATAAATATGTAATGATCTATGAAAGAATGTTCCTACAGTTTCACTAATCCCCAGCATTTATTTCTACAATAATAATAAAAACATCTCTATTGAAAACAATAGTTTATATTAAGATTTAGAAACTAAATTTTGTCAAAATGTACGTTAAAAACCAATTTCATAATAATAAAAAAAACATTTGGCAACCCTACACAGCTTACGCTGCATTAATTGCATCTCTAAATGAATACTCTTCCATAAACAATAAAATTCATCGTAAAATTTTTTTTATTTACATTGGACATTTTAGTAATTTTTAATAATTAATGAGACATGTGCTACGAAAAGGCTAATGAACAAAACTTACTCTGCCATTTTTTGTTAAAAGTTGAAACTTGTTTCTGTATGAAATACAAAAAAAAAATTATTTTAATTTTCTAACACGAATACAAACTATTTTTTAAATTTCTCTATTCTTTTTTTATTACACTTTTTGCCTATTTTGTTAGCAGTTTTTGTAACCGGCACAAATTTTTTTAAAA